TTGTTTTACTGTATTTTTTCCTGTTTTTCATAACAAACTCATAACCCTCCAATTTCAACACATCCATGTCGTCAGTTTTGGTTTCCTGGAAACATAAGATATCATGTTTCGAAACTAGACTTTGAAACTCGGGGTAATTAAGTCTACGCCTGATTCCAAAGCAGTTGAGTGAAAGTACCTTAAGATGGTGGTTTGAAGATCTAACGTCATTAAACTTCGTGTTGTTCCCCCCGCGTCCCTATGGACCTTCAGGAGTAGAGCTCATACGTCCACGTTATGGATTACGACGCCGATTCGGGTTTCCTGTGAGTTGTAACTACCGTGGATCCTTGTGGCCTGTGGTTTGGAGGATCACCTGTCATCATAGGGTTGTCAGTTGACATACAATATGTCGCGTACCAATTTGACGTGATCACCTTTCTCACGAAATTCCTTGAATTTAGGGTAGAGGCTTTTACGGGCTTGCTCTATTTCCTGAGGAAATTGTTTGTTTATTCTGTATGGCTTACCTCGTAATTTCTTTGCGTTTTTCAGCACCATGTCAAGTTCCTTCTGGAAAATGAATTTGACTACTACTGGTCTTGGACCTTTGTTGGATTTCCTGCCAAACCTGTGAACGTTAGCGAGTTCGATATGTTGATCGATGTCCAGCTGTCTGTCTAGGAACTCTCTTATTACAGATTCAGCTTCAATCCACCGGGTACTTTCTCTTATCGAGGTCAAGCACGCATACATCACCAAAAATAGATTTCTGAAATATGAAGTATGGAATATCATGAAACTAATGTATTCTCGATTTACCAGTAATGTTGTTTTTAATGGTCTCAAGTCGGACAATGTAATCATGAAACGGGGAGTCTTACAAGGTGGGTCTTTATCCGCAAAACTGTATTAAGTCTTTATTAATGATTTGCTAAATGAAGCGGGAAAGGGGCAATAGTTCTTTCCTCGCAAATAAATATACCTACACAAGCTGATGACATATGTATTATCAGCAATAACGTTAATAGTTTACAGTATCTACTATCTATTTGCGAGAAATACAGTAGAAAGTGGAGATTTACATTTTCCTCTACTAAATCTAAAACTGTTGTTTTTACTGCTAAAAAGAAACCCAATATTAATTGTGATATAACTGTATATGGAAAGAAACTACCAATTGTAGAAAGTATTACTCATGTCGGAGTTTTATTGAATAGTAGAAATAACAATGTCGAACGTACAGAACGTGCTTGTTCCAAATTAAAGAGTGGTGTTATGTCCTTAATTCGTTCTGGAGCACATCCATGTGCTCTGAATCCTTTAACCACTGCAAAAATTGTAAAGTGTAAAGTATATCCCTCAGCACTGTATGGGTGTGAATTGTGGCAATTAAAGCAAAATGAAATTTACATGTTAGAAAAAGCACAAAACTTCATTGTCAAATCAATCCAAGGTTTTAATGTAAGAACAAGAACAGATATGTGCACGTCCTTGATTGGTTGGTTTTCTGTAGAAGTATACATCAGCGTAAAGAAAATGTTATTTTTTGGTAGAATATGTTCCATGGAAGTTGGCTGTTTAACACGCGAAATTCTTATCAAGCGTCTATTCGAATTCAACCTGTCTCAATTTAGTAGAGGTTTTGTTCCCGACATTGTTAATGTTTTACANGCGATAATGAAAATATATATTTGTGTCATTACTGTGGATCTATGCACAAAGATACTATTATGCATAGTGTACTCGAATGCTCACACACAGAGCTATTACGTGACCAGCTTTGGTATGTACTCAGTAATGTAAAAGATATCAGTAATGTTTTTAATCTTAATGTAATGTCTAATTACCATCTACTTCATGTTCTTCTTGGTGGTATTTTCAATTATGACTTATCTCCATATGAACTGGAGGACTTTAGAATAAAATCCATTGTTATTATTACTAAAATTCTTCAATACAGTGGTATTATGTAATTTATCCTTAGATATTTGAATGTTGTATACTGAGTAATATGATCACTAATTTACTTCTGTGTACCTCACGCTCCAGCAAGATTAATACATGAAATACATATATTTTTGTATTCATATTAGTAGGCAAGCATTTCCTACGTCTTTCCTGTTGATTAGTGCAACTTACTTTCATGCATAATATTGTTTGTATTGTATTAATTGATCTTGTGATATGTATTACTACAACTGAAATCATTGCATGGTTGCGCTGTTTCTTCAAGTTAATTATTATATTGTATGTTTTGTATTTCACACCACTGTATGACTATATTGTATGACTTCGTGCAACGGGTTCTACTCAATGTATGATTGTATTGTAAGACTTATGTAACAGTAATACTGTCTATAATAATGCTGTATAATTTATAGTGTGATGCTTGTAATACTGTTTATTACAATGTTGTATGATTGCTTAGTACGAGAAGTGTATTACTCTCTATACTATTATATGATAATATAGTTTGAGGAGTGTAAATATGTCTATTATATCAATGTGTGATGTAATGTATGATTAGTGTTATACTGTCTATCATCATAATTATCACCATAATTATCACCGTATAATGACTGTAATAGTACCTATTAAATCATTGTGTTGTGTTTATAGTACTTCGTGGTACTATTATTATTCTCTTATGTGTGTGTCTGTCCATGTGCATGTGGGTGTCACTATGTAAGGGTGTGATCATGATTGTGAATGCATTTTCTTCTCTTTCAATAGTGTTGAATTGTACATGTATTGTTCGTTATTTCTGTAACTCTTCATTTCTGGAGGAAATAAAGGAAATAAAGGAAATAATAATAATTGCTAATATAATTCTTCAAGATCTGTTTTAGCAGAATGTTAATATGATTTGTTGTATATCACTATGGGATAGGAAGTTAAATGCCAATTCCGCCTTTGGTAGTTAAATCGTCGATTATCATCCGGAGCGATGTAAGGTCTGACCTCCATGATACCTCACGAATGCGCCGTAAACTGTCGTATAAGGACAGATTCCCAGCCTAAAAATCGGCAAAAACGGTAACTTTATTAAAACAAAACCATAATCAAATATAAAACGACGACTCCCAATTTATGAGAATTTTTTTTCTTAACGCGGTTGAGATTTTAGATGTTTATGTTTGGTAAAAGGTGTGTTTTTACATTTTCTTAACAGCTATAAGGTTCTTCGAAGATGAGTCTTTATTTCTGTATTATGTACAGATGTACCATATGTAGAGTAGTTAAGAAAAGTAATACTTCTATGAATTATTTCTATCATAGAATATGGAAACCGACCCCCCCCCCCTCCCTGAAACTATACCAACTAAACAAAATGCTGGCTAACACAGGAATCTGAGAATCTCCATATCGAGGGAAATAAAGATTGATGATGATGATGATGATGATGATGGCTCTGATTGGATTAAAACTAATGTGTTCAGAGTAACACGAGACGTTTTAAGCGTTCAGATAAATTTTGACTAAAACATGTCAACTGTAATAAATTCGCAGGTTCCTGTACTGATTACGCGTGAGGACACAGGCTCTGACAACAAATATATATGTACGCTCGGATTAAACACGTAGCTCGGATTAAAGAGAATGTCAGAATACCCAGGCCTTATTTGGTAGTTAAAATGGGATTATACTTTTGTGCCATGTCGGAATATTCAGTGGTCGGGTTAAACAGGTTTAATTGTTATATACATTTGAGAATATCTGCTGTCTACACTCCGACTGCTAGGCAAGTATNATTTTAAAAAAATGACCAATTTGGCGGCCATTTTGAAAAAGTGTATTTATGTGAATTTCTTGCGCTTCACAAAGGGCCAAAATTCACCTTTTTTGACACTAGATTGATCACTTAAATTGTCATTGTGTCACCATTTTTAATTGTAGCAGGTTCAATTTTGCTGTACAACTTTATAATGTTCAATATGATCAAAATAATATGCAAAAAAGTGGAAAGTTATATATTATTGATATTTTTTTTACATATTAGGGTAACTGAAGCACTTTTGATTTTTGACCCCGAAAAAGGTGAAAAATAACACAAATAATAATGGGACAAAAAAAGAAGCACACCGACCCCCCATTTTTGTGGCTGTTTTAGAAAGAGAAACTCATTTTCTTTCGATTCATTGAATACTAAAAAAAGTTTATTACAGGATTTTTTATTTATATCAAGAGTTTAATCGGCAAAAAATTGTGAAAAATGTGCATTTTTTCATTAAAAAAAAGGGGGTAGGGGTAACTAAAATCGCATTTTTGAGTAAAATGAATAAGCTTAAGACATTTTACTTCCATAGTTTCAAAGAAGATAATATTTTTTATCAATTCTACAAACATTCATACATATCTGATAACACACTTGGAAGAAATTGTATGAATTTGTTCTGCCAATGGTCAAAACCCGAAAATTCACCTAAAATCACATATTGTGTTAAATTGGTATCTTTGACCGATCATTGCACAAAAACGAACGCACCGACATATAGGTTTTTTTTGCATTTTCTACTATGCCATTATCTCCTTTTTCCAGAAATCAATATAAGAAAAAAAGTTTAATACAGGAATGTTTTGACTACTCAGAGGTGTACATCCTTAATATCCGTCATTGTTGATTTACCCTCTGGTCGTAGTTTTTCAGAACCAGGAAACGAAAGCTAGAAATCCACCGGGTACTTTCTCTTACGCCTCGAGGTCAAGCACACATACATCACCAAAAATAGATTTCTGAAATACAATATTTATTCATAGCAAATATGTTGGAAATGTGATAAATATACAAATATATAAATATCATAAACAAGCTCTCTTTGTAATTATACTTCAGTAAAATCCTTAACGTTTTGAATAAAACCGAACTGCGTTAGGTGAAAACCGAACCGATATATACCTACATTAATATTGGCCACAAGCTCGAGGCACTTGTCACAGCGGACACCTGTGGACGTTCAAGGTCAATTTGTCAGTACGACATTTAAGCTGATGGTCTAGTAAATGGTATCATTTTCCTTTGAGGATATTGACGAGCATGGCGTTTTTTAAGGATTGTTTCGTATGCTATTTTCGTCCGTCTATTTGAACAAATCTAAAGTATGCAGTGTGAGTCAGAAAATAACAACTTGATGTAAAAATTTCTCTGTGTGATACACGAAACGCTGGCTGTCATTTCCGGATTATAAGGTAATTATTATACGTGATCTTATTGTACGTTCGAGTTTCTTTTAATAAAACTATGCATACTATCGGATACACCTTACGATATGTGCTATTGTTATCTTCATTTAACTAATGGTTGCCGACAGTTAATTGATAAGGATATATAGTTTGTGATATATTGTGATATATAATTGATTATATATAGTTTGTGATATGTGATATATAATTGATCATATATAGTTTATGATATACTGTGATATTTAATTGATTATATATAGTTTGTGATATACTGTGATATCTAATTGATTATATATAGTTTGTGATATGTGCTATCTAATTGATCATATATGAGTTGTGATATACTGTGATTTATAATTGATGATATATAGTTTGTGATATACTGTGATATATAATTGATTTTATATGATTTGTGATATATAATTAGTGACATATAGTTCCTAATATTGAATATTTCTGAAATCTCGAAACTATCAGTGCAGGTTTTTCTTGTAACTGTTAGATGTGTCATCCACAATTAATCAAAGCGAAACTATCTTTCGTAAAGGAAAAATCATATTTTGATGTGTATTTAAAACTTTTCTAGAACGTTCTCTTTATAAAATGATTCATATTTAAGGGTTCACATTCTGTTAGGGAAATGCAAGTTGTAGAAAAAGTATTTAAAAGATATATAGTGTCATATTTGGCTTTGTTTTGAAAAATGCATATATATTTAACCAGTCCTGTTCGTAATTACACCTTTATGATTTTTTTTTCAGTAACGCAATATTGAACATAAATGAGAAATTGTCAGTAATGAAGAAGGCAATATTAACGTTAGTTTGGCTGATGATAACCATTGCAATAGCAACGGAAATGTCGAATCACCGGACGCTGAAAGCAACCTACGGCATGGACGTAATCAATAATAAAACACAAGGACTTTTTAAAAGGAAAATTTTAGCGTCCAACACTAAAACATCATCAGAAGATTTAGAAAATAGTCAATACGTTGATGTTAATTGGGATAAAGACTTATTTAAATTAAGATTTCGGGGTAGAAAAGGAGGGAGATTTAGAATAAGAAGAGCTCCGAAGTCAACACTCGGAGAACCTTGGCCTTTGCCACAACAGTATACTGTAAATCGAAATATTGTGTTTAGTCTTGACAACGAAAACTTTGTGATTGCAAAAACATTAAAAACGTGTGATATATTAGAAAAAGCAATTCAAAGATATAAAGATATTATTTTTGCATTTGCTTTGGAAGAAATTCACGAAAATTTCGATAACCTGCTACCAAAGACCAACTCAGAGAGTACTTCACACGTGTACCAAGATACCAGGAGTATTAATACGTTGAGGATTGCCGTCAAGAATTCATGTGCCAAATACCCTAGTGATATCTCTAAAGAGGGATGTAAGTACATATTTTTATTTGAGATAACATTATTTCATGGATATTTTTATCAATACTGAAAGTGACTGTTCAGGAAGCTTAATGTCCTACCATCAACAAGTTATCGCAAAGTTAAAAGTAAGCAGCATGTTTTGTCAAAGATTGATAGCCAACAATTGTTCTTAAAGTTAAGAAGAGTTAGTTTTCTAAAAGTTAAGAGCCACCAATAAGTTTGCTAAAGGTAAGAACTATCAGAAAGGTTTAAAATAATACACTATATATGCGGCGCAACAAAACAATTTTAAGTTAATTGGTACCAAAAGGTCATACTGTAATATCATTATTATAACTTTTGTGAAGTATTTGTTTAAATCTTTTTCAAAAGCAGTATTTTATAAAAATGTCATGCATTTTACAGAATTATATTGGTTCAACATTTGAATGTATGCTGCATGATAATATAATTCAAAAGAAGAAAAATAAAAAAGAAATTACAGTGGTCGAACTTAGGACCTTTATAGGACCGTGAAAGTGTTGTAAATAAAAACACAGCGCCAAAATGAGTGTCCAATGTATTAGCCACAATGCCTGTGAAATATTATAAACATGGCTATAGATATAGATATATAACTTGACTGAGGGAGTTACACTAAGCCAGTAAAATCTTGTTTGGTTGCTTCATCTTTTATACAGAAGGGAGATTACCCAAGTAAAAAACTCTTAGTGGAACTCTTCTTCGCAATTATAACCGAAGCAGTGGTACCCTTAACCTTAAACTATTCATTCAAACATGTTTTATTGACACTGAATAGTCAAAGGGATTGGGCACACGTTCTTACAACTTACTAGACCCTCTCCCTTAAACCTATTTAAGTGAGAACGAAGACACTACTCTAGCTTTATGCGTTCATAGTGTGGAATTTAGACAAAATAACAGTTCAGATGAAGTTTTGATTGACTAATGTTTTACTGTGTTTTTCCTTTATGCTATAAAGATGTTCTCAGAGTCAACGAGTCAGGGATCCATCTTGACGCTGTGGAGGTGTGGGGGGCTCTGCGGGGGCTGGAGACCTTGAGCCAGCTGGTGTATAAACGTGGTGAAAAGGTACACATCTAATTTAGTCTTTATTTGAAAATTTAAAAATGAAAAGAAAAGATAAAGTATGAAAATATTCGAAAACTTTAAACCGGCAAAACTAACAAAAATAATGATGAATGTAAAATGTTCAAGAAAATCGTTTTTTGTTTTATTAGTTACAACAAAAAGTAATATTCATATTTTGATCAGTTTTATATCAGGCAGGTTTCGATTGACGACTTTCCCCGGTTCCGATATCGAGGTTTATTGGTGGACACAGCGAGACATTACTGGCCTAAAGAACTGTTGTATTCAATGATGGTAGGTAATCCAGGCACACATAAAGAATCTCAAACGAGCGTCTTTATAACGAAATAACATGCGTCGGATCATAGAATTATAATATGGTATTCGGAAAGAGTTGGACATGATTGTTAACCTCGTAGCTTTAATGATAAAACCAAAATATCGAAAATAAATCGATGATAATAGAACCCTTATTATGATTTTTATTGAATAGTGACGTCATAATGGGCGTTCTATTACAATATTTATGTGAAGGCGTTCTTACACGATCTGTCAGGTTTGAGATGTAAATGATGTTAATATCACATCACTTTAATTTCTACCAGATAACAGTTGACATTCTTCAAAAATACAAATTAACATCGTATATATGTCAATATGCTGAAGATGGAATTTTCCAGCACGACGCGAGTGGAAATACATCGTGAAAGCAGCGATAGATATACGCAAAAACACACTACCGAAAGCGAGAATGAACAGTGATCTTGATTTAAGTCGTTTTAAAAATATACATTTGACATATAGTGAACCATATAATTTGTTAAAGTTACAAATCACGGACAAGAAAGTAAGGTTATATATTTGCAAAATGATAACCTGCCCACCATTAGAACATAGTAAAAATGTAGCAAATGCGGGAAACCCTTCCATGATGTAATCCGGCATTTCGTCACGGACTGTAATGAGACATTCATTTTAAGGGACACTTTCATGGACAACGTAATAAACCACTATTATGTTCAACCGTATCTGCTATTGTCTCATATGGTAGAAGAGGAACTTGTAGTAGCTCTATTCAAAGGAACCATAGACAATCATGATTTTGATAACAAAACTGTGTGCTGTGAATTTGCGCAAGACAGTGCTTTTTTTCCTTTGGAAAGCAGCACAGGCATGTATTTCAATGCTGCAGACCTAGTATAATGTAAACTTTACCAGATTGAATGTAAGGGTGAATACACCCTCCCATAAAGAACAATAATACAGTGAACGATAACGAAATATGTATTAACCACATTTGTACATTGCATAATTTTCTTATTCTTAATTTTGTATTATACACTCTCATTTTTGAGGAATAAAGAATGATGATGATTAACGAGTACATACTACGCTGGCATAACAGTATTTTATTGGTTTGATTTCAATCATTTATTTGCAGGAAGCCATGGCAATGACAAAAATGAACGCAATACACTGGCACATCGTAGATGACCAATCGTTCCCCTACCAAAGCAAGGCATTTCCGGAACTGTCTGAAAACGTATGTTAAGTGTCCTTGCTAGACCAAACGTCAAATACACTGTTTACACTGGTTATACTTGTACTCTTTGCATGTTTGTGAAAATAATTGACCTGGTGTATCCCACTGCATGCTCGTAATGGGCGACTAATATGAGACGGCCAGAATCGGAGGTTTTCATCTGTGTGCTCTGTTTAGCGGGCATTGAAGAAACTTACACCTGCTGCAATAGTTCTACCCTTTTCTACAGCATTTAAAAATCGGCTTTCTCTTTGCACACCTGCCTTTTACCTATTTTCTACCGTTTGGTTAAGTAGGACGGTATTGTAATCAAGGGCGGTTTCTGGTACGGAAAAACTACCATGTGGTCCCGTGTGATTTATGCAATCCAAAATCATCACCAGTTTATTCTTTACTATGTGAGTGTGTTTTGTTCTAGAAGCTGGAACATTAATGCTTTATAGGCGTTTGCTGTCTTCAATTAATTTATATTGTCTGATTTTGTATTTGAATTTTTGTACATAACAGGGTGCCTTTCATCCGTCCATGGTCTACACACCGAAAGATATTGCCGACATCATAGAGTTTGCCAGAATACGGGGGATAAGAGTGATCCCAGAATTCGACATTCCAGGTACGACATTTTATTAAACGACAATTTATCATTAAACTAAAGACAATGTCAGAACCATCAATTAGTTTTCCCAAAATGACTTTTCCCAGATTGTTAAATTATATTCAAACAATTCTTTCATATGGAACAGGAACAACTGCAGTATGTTTAAAATTTAAACCTTGCACTAATTCTACATGTAGAACCTGTAGAAAAAACTCTTTAGCTAGGGTTCCATCAGTTGAAAAACTGATCATGACGTCACTGAAGAACACAGTTTTGAATTATTAGTAAATATCACTGTTGTGTGATTATAGACAGAGAACAGTCAACCCAAGGGGACGATTTTTGAAGCTTGATATGATGCTTTGGTTCGATACAATGATTGCCTGGTTACATGAATGCCTAGTTTTAGACTGCTTTTATTGGGCTTACTTTTCATCTTGTCTTAATTGAACCTTGTTTTCCAGTTTTTATGTTCATTGGTGTAGTTGCAAGATTTTATGAACTATCAATTAGAGAACTGTGATTTAACGTTATCACGACAGTGACGGATAGTCGGTTGGCGCAGTGGATAGCGCACTTGCCTTTCACCAAGGCGACCGGTGTTTGATTTCCCGTTCGGTCGTTAAAAGGTATGGGGTCATCTGCCCGATCACGTCGGTATTTCCTCGGGTACTCCTGTTTCCTCCAAGATGAACCTGCGCGTTAAAAATCCGGGCCAACAAAAATGATTAATATAAGTCGAAATAACCTGTTTCATAGATGTTATAAAGTAAATAAAGTTTATATATATTAATCACAACTGCAGGTCATACGTTTTCGTGGGGGCTTGGCAAACCGGAACTGATGGCTCAGTGTTACTCTGATACAATGGAGCCGATACCCGGTCACTACATCAATCTTGATCCCAGCCGTAACAAGACGTACGACTTCCTGGAGACATTATTCAAGGAAGTCATGGGACTATTTGAAGATGCCTACATACACACCGGTGGTGACGAGGTTCCTCTAGACTGCTGGTAGGATGATATCCGATATTTGTAGTTAAGCAACCATTCCCCCTCTCCCAATTGTTTATAAATCGTTTTATTTTATATCTGTGCGCGTTTCTTGAAAAGAACAGAGTTGTGCTAACATATTGCTTGGTCATACAGTACATCGACTAACTTGTCACTGCAGGCTCAGGTTTATTTTCTGCTGTATCCTTAACTTAAGAGAAAATCAGAGAAACCAGATGTACCTCACAGAGTGCTACAGTGCAGTCTTTCCTTACAACGTGTTCCACAGCTTTAGCTTGCTTACTTACGAACCTGTAATAGAATAAACTTGCTGTATCCCACTGAATGTTAGCGTGAGAGGCGGGTGTCTTTTGTGTTCTCTGCATAGTGGTCTTGTTCAACAAGACTTTTGTTGTCTGCGCAAACTACGCAAAACAGAGAGACTCTTGAATTACAAGTGACCAAGCGTCTGGTTGGACGAGACTATCTACATAGGGGACATTGAAGGGGCCGAACAAGAAACAAGAAATCTGCTTGCAACATTCGGGATCGCTCTTTTCTTTTCTCGTCCCTTCCTACTTTTTTCCTTTTTTCTGGTTTCTCCCTAGACACCCGGTCTCACATGATTTTAAAAGTTGTGAGGACTTTATCTCCATACAAAGCAAATGTTTCTGTATTGTTAATGGATTACCTAGCGTAAACCTTATTTCGTCGTTGATTTATCTTGTCAAAATATATTCTGTTTTGACTGTGTAGTTGTCGTCAATAATTAATATCTCCTTATCATGGTATTGTTGTCAAGGCGAACCAACCCCGGAATTCAACAGCTTGTTCGCAAGTTAGATAACAGTTGGAAGACGCGAGAAACGGGCAAACCTTTAACAGCGAAGGCATGGAACTACTTCGTAAATCGGTAACACATCTTCATATTATATTTGTTTTATTTATTTAATTTTTAAAGATATTGCTCACAATTTGCATTTAGTTATCTCTATGATGTCATTCTATCAGAAACCTAGTTGTTTTGCAAGCGAAACATGCTTAAAATTTAGTTACAGTATAATACTTTATTGAGCAATAAATAAACTACAGTACATGAAAACATGGAAAATTCTCAAAAGGAACAGAATCATGTACCGTCATTTTCTGTTGTTAAACTATCCTAACTATTTCCCCTGAATAAATATATCTTTGTGAATAGGTTATTTATATTGCATTACTATTGACTGGCCATGTCTTACTCTCCCTATCTATCTAGTTAATGAGTATATAAGCCCACTGCACTCTGACTGGAAGGATACTTCATTAGAGTTCTGTCTTGTCTATTTCGTTTCTTGTTCACTTTTTTAAAGCATAACCAGAAGAAATTTCGTTAAAGAGCTATGAACGCAATTTGAACAGCGTCATTTTGAAGCTTTGCCTCCCGCCTCGAATAATATAAGAATATGAAATTGAAGATATGCCGTTTATTCTTAATGTGTCTATTGCTTAACACTCGCATCTTGGCTTAGTTTAAACATTTCTGTTGTTCATATTAAAGAGTAAACTTTTCATGATTAAATTTAATTACTTGCAGAGTAACAAGTATGGTTAAGAGGATAGGAGAAGAGAGAGGCACCAAAAAGCGTGTGATCATGTGGAACGAAGCGTTTAGAAACGGCTTAAAGGTAAACTTTGCTACAAATCATATATATTGTGTGTCAGTGTACGAATAACTTAATAGATATTGTGCATATGTACAAAACTATAATTTTTTAATTTAAATGGTTTGGTTTCTAATCCGCATTCTGACATTAAGGCTTTGTAAGTCCTGAAATATCACCAGAAGATATTGGGAGATAATGGTGCCTGATTTTGGAATAGCGCAGCATCAATTATTCAAATCTATGTAAATATTGTTTCAACGTGTTTAAGTATTACTATATCTAGCAATGACTTTACGTAACAAGGTGGTAGACTGCTGGCGAGTAATCACGCGGATGACTGTAACCCACTAGGTGAAATTCATACGTGAATGGTGTATAGGAAATACTTAACTACGAATGAATTGTATGTTGTAGCAAAAATAGTCAATTTGTAGCATTATTGAAAATAATTATCTACAACTGATGTATCTATATAGAAAAACAGCGAAAGGGGAAAGGTCCCATATCACGCTTAATAGTGATTCATTTGACCTTTCTCACACTGAAGATTCCTAAATGAATGAACTGACCACGTGGTGCACTTATTACTTCTCTTTGTTTGGTTTGCTGTATCGAGGAACTTATTTATCAAGGAGATGCTCGCTAACTTCGAATTTTTCTAGTTTTCTTTTTTAGTTTTTTTTTAATAACACACCTACATATAATGTGAAATAGTATAATAAACATCACATCCCCATATTAAGCCTAGTTTAAAAAAGAAATGTATTTTTTTTATGAATAACTGAAATTTAGACTATGTCTTTACCTTTATCATGCTCTATGAAGTAGCTTTAGTATACAAATACCAACATTCCCCTTTACTGTGTCATGCATTTCCTATCCGAAAAATTATGCTTTAAGAAACATATGAAATATCTCTTACGAATGGTGATTAACAACAAACAGGTAACTCTGACTTCTCTTATAATGTCATTTTATAAACGAGTTTATCATATACAGATATATGGGATATGGATATTTTACCCTCAGGTGCAGAACTCGGGGGCAGAACCGACACCAAATCGGCACGTCACAGTAGAATACCCATATCCCAAATACCTACAGAATGATTGACTCTTTTTTCTCCAACCTCTAAACACAGTGTCATGAAACGAAATGTTTACCAGGAGGCTTGATTTTGTATATTTGTATGTCAATTTAAAAAATATATTATGTACATTTCGTATTCGTGTGCGTGCTTTACACTTGTGTACGTTACATTAATGTATTTGTATCAGTTTGTAATTATATACAAAAACTATTGTTTTATTTAGTATTTAAAACACCAATTAATTGGTTAATCGTTATTTTCGTGTAGATTCCGAATGACTCTATAATACAAGTGTGGTTTGGCAACTCAAAAGAAGTGGAAAAGGTGATCGAAAAGGGCCACAACGTGATCTACTCGGAGTGCTGGTATCTAGACAAGGTTCAGTCCAACCTACAATGGCCCCAACACTACCTGTGTGACCCAAATAGTCGTACACCAGGTATCTTATGTACTTACATATCACAAATACTATTTTTATTTGTAACTGTTCTTAAACCTTTTTCTCAGTGAGGAATGAGACTTTGCATCAGTTTGAATAAATATTCAGTTACAGGCGTGCCGACTTTTAAGTTTCTTCACCATTATCATCAATATTTCAAATATGTTTCGCAATTCCAGGGCATGCTGTATATAGATTCTTAAAAACGTACACGAACACTAAAAAGTTTATTGCTGTAATTGCCGAGGTTATGTCTAGACTTTTAGTTCATATTCATAGCCCCCATCTCCCAATTACATTATGTACATGTATAAGGGTTTTAATTTATTACTACAATGTATGTAAGCATACCGCCTATTTAATAATAATACCAATTAAGTTACTAAATTTTCATTGTTAAAAGTGACAGTATAATTATTAATACGCGTATCATCTGTAAACTAAGTTTATTATGTACATGAGTATTGATCAAGGAAGAACAATGATGACACTTTACCATGCCTTGTATCTCGTATTGTATTCTACCAAGGGTTTGAGAAGAGAGAAGCTAAGATATTAGGTGGGGAGGCGTGTCTCTGGAGCGAACACATTGCCAGTGAAGTCGCCATGTTTTACGCCTGGTAATATACATTTATCTGTTTGTATCGTAAACTCATATTGATTTAATGTTTGAAAGTTGTTTGAACATACTTAAATCACATGATGAGACTTAGTTATACTTTGATATAGAATTCCTGAAAAAGACACCACGCTTTTTAATTAATTTTATTCATTAAATTAAAGGATGAGATTTGTTTTTCCGTTGAAATATGTGTCACTTTTATTCAGCGATCAAATTTAAAATGAAAATAAATCAAGCATGTTAATGAATTTCCAAATGAAATATGAAACATTTATAAAAGAAAAAAATTCTCTCGCATATTAAATGAAATGAATTTATAGTGTAGTCAGCACACGTGACATAATAGATATGAAAATGGTTACCGATGACGATTTTTATTTTGTTCCTTGAAGGCCACGGGCGTCCGTCGTTGCTGAGCGACTGTGGAGCCATAGGGATGTCCGAGATATAGACAAGGCGGCAGCTCGTCTTCAAGAACACAGATGTCGCATGCTCAGGTAAATGCAAAATGAATAAAAGAGATAAAGTCCCTTACTCGTTTCATCACTCAGCATATACAGTTAATATATAATTGTAATATACAACTTGAATACACATGTGTTATACTCAGATGCAGCTTTAAATGGTAAATAAATATATGTTATAAATGATATAAATATATGTAGCTAAATATGAAATATTAAGCAAATGTCATGTTTAAAGCAAAGGTACCTTGCGTCTGTGGAAAAAAGTAAATCTTTTTAATGATATTTGCATTTCAAATTTATTTGTATTTCTCAAGATGTACGTTTATATGTATCACGTTTTCTTAAAAGGGGTTTCTTTTCAAGAAATTGCGGTTTGCATATATATAATATTTTGTAAGAGTGTGTGTTGGCTATAATTTTTTCTCTCCACCAGGCGAGGATTACAAGTTAATATGATCAATGGGCCCGATTATTGTCCTCCATTCTCAAATGTTACTAAATCAAAGGTCAAGCTCGCTGACAAGGTTCCAAACACAAATAACGATGCCAAGGTTCCACCAAAATATGACGAACAAAAGGTTAAAAACCCCGAAGACAGACAAATAAAGATGATTATCGACCAGTTAAAAGAAGATATCCCAATGTCAGTGAAGGTATGTAAAAGCACTAAAGTATTTCGTATTTGAAATACTAGTAAAGTGTAGTTGCACATCTTCATTGTTGACTGATCTTGACTATGTGTTTATCAGAATATCGTCATGATGTAAGCTGATCTGATGGCTAATCAGTGAATGTCAATCTGTCAATGTAAAGAATGAAGACCTTGTAGTGAATACCGTTGCCAAAGCTGATTTTAACCCAAGCTCTTTGAAGGGGTTTATGATGATGATTGCATTACTTTGTTCAATTGTTTCATCTGTTACTTTTGTTGTCATTGTTCAGTTGTCTGATTCATCTCTAGTGCTGTTTTTCTTTCGTTTCGTTGCTCTTTGTTCCTATGGTTATCTTTCTTTTGTTTCAGTCTCCAATTATTGTTAATTTTCTCGTTTTCCCTTTTGTTTCGGTGTGTAATCCGTTCCGTTTACACCATTTCCCTTGTTAAATGTCTCATTCATTTGCTTATGTTGTCCGTCTTTTTGTTTCGGGGTTTATCTTTGGCTGTTGTTATCTTGACAGATACATTTAAATGGGGGTCATTTTCTAACATACTTTTCCTCTTCATAACAGATAAATGGTATGTTGTAATAAATTGGCGATCTAACGTGACATTTTTCTTTAATAGACGACTGTTTGATAGGGAAATTGTGTGTTATCCTCTTTTGGGAAGTACATTCTTTATCACTTTTGCAACTATAAATGATTTTTGCAAAGTTTTATGTATATACATTTCTTGGAAATAATTTAAGTGAGTTATGCTATTTGATTTTTTTTTTGTAGGAAAACAAAAAGCGTAAAATGCGACTCAAAACCCAACAGGTACGATTTACAAACTTTTAATTACTTGAAAATCTGCTTTAACATTAAATATATCTTTGAATATTGTTCCTGTTGTAATAAACATTTGAATTAATCTTGTTTATATTGCACTTAATTTTTGAATGAATCATGTGTCTATTGTTTCTGCTGTACTTATTATTCTTATGTCTATTTCTTTCGTTGCATTTAAAATCTTTATATTTTTTGCTTGTGCTGTTCTTAACATTTAAATTAATGTCATTTCTATTGTTTCTGTTGTAGGAAACCGTGTTCACCATTATGTTATTTCTCCCATTCCTTATGTTTACGTTGTTATACTGCTTTTTAAAGATAAAACGATCGAAGTTCCTGGGAAGGATACTTTATAAATTAAGCATTACAAATTTATGTTGATATTTTTGTATCCTGATATTAATTTATATTTGAATAAATTTATACATTACATCAAATAAGTTGGTTGTTATGAAACAAAGACCTGTTTGCATGTAGCATGTACCTGGTTATTTTGCAATTGTATGTGTGTTAGTTATATTGCAATTAAATGTTAAAATCGCTATAAACTGTAGCTAAAACGTTCAGTTTTGTATGACTCATGTGTTCTGCATCTCTATACAGACTTGACGTTTAATTATCAGAATAATCACTCCAGCATATCAAAAGCACCAAAACAATGCGAAGCGTAAACAAACCCATAATTCAGACTAAAAATCTGTCAAACTAGCGGAGGACGTGAACAAAGGAAATATTTACATGAGGATCTTAGAGACAAACGACATGTGTTTTATAAAGCTTGGTAATTTATAATGAATAAAGCATCCCCAAAGTGGGAGACAGGGCAGTTACAACCACAAGACACACTTATGAGCATAATCAAAAAGCATTACAAAGGAAACAGATTTTTCCCAATCACAAATAAATGGCGACCATCAAACTTGCCCATAATTTTTATTAAGCTGCATTCGAGACACTGAGATGTCCGTTTATCTATTAGATGTCGTTATATCCATAACAAGCACTCGAATACCAAATCAACTGCGACATTTAAATGACTAAGGTAGATTGTTAACTCTACAATTACACAATCATGCTTCAGCTCCAGCGTTATTATGTCAAATCAACATAGGTAGTGTGAGGCCTCAAATAATGAAATAGATCTAAGCGTTCTTTTACTGAACACTGTTTTTTTTATTCAATTCGGAAACGTTAAGTTTCTACATCAGTGTCCGGCTTATAACAATTCCCGCCCTTCAACCCGGGTCGATATCAGTTGATTTAGGTTCGTAAAGTTGTGCCAAGAGTTTAAATAGTTTACAAATGAAAATAAAATACAGTTTTAAGTTTCACTGTATTCTTCCGCGCAAATCTAATACTTCTTTACGCTTTCCCCAGATCGATAATCTCGCGAGCATTGGTCATTGAGCCGCCGAGATGTCATTAGGAAAATATTGTGTTGAGTTGACTTTATGTGAATGGAGATAAATATAAGATAGAAGTTTGAAGATGATAAACAGATTATCACACCATGTTTTCAGGGTTTGTCGTTCGAGCAATTGTTCTCATCCACCTGCGAGAGATGCGAACCTTAGAAGATTTGCGCGGCGGAATACCATGAACCTTAAAACTGTAGAAAATTACTTTTCAAACCAGTTTATCGTCATTAGGTTCTCCATTGACGCTTAAAATGGTGTTGTTGTCCTCACAACATGCTTTCGTAACTTTATATTGATAGGTTTAAGACGTACTACTTGTTTTACGAGAATCGCCTATGTTTGGATACTGTTTCCCGTTTAGGACGACGTTCTGTTCTGAGAATATACTTTCCAAAATTGGAAATTCGAGTCGTTCTCAACCTTTATGTTTTGAGTATTTTCATACTTACAACCCATGATAATGAATTTACATGTTACTGGTAGGTGGTATAAAGTGGTAAATAAATGATAAAAATAAATACAGTGTATATTATTTTTGTTAGTTTTATTATTTACCTAAATTATTAGAAATTAAAAGAAAATATTAAATAGTTAAATGGTTAAAGTGAACACTGAACGAAAATAATAGTGAATGTTTATTATTCTACATGATTCAAAGTGTCGTCGTTGAATGGCGCCCCTTCATGGCCTGTGTCTGTGCCCCATTATTTATAGCACACACTATTGTGATACCGCTACGGTCCAAAGATACGGAAATGTATCAGTACAATATGTTTACAACTTTATTTCAACGTTTGTATCTGCTATATTTCTTTATGACAATCAAATGTATATCATATTTTAAACGTTTACTCATACAACACCGACTGGAACTACAATATCCAATGTAAATAAACATGACGGCTGTTGAAATATCGCAGGGGATTGTGAGACTTGACAATGTAATTGTAAATTTATGTGCAAAAGAAAATATAAAAAACACCTTTTATTACAACAAAAACAAGACCAAGGTCTGCAATATCGTACAAAATGCACATCGGTTGAAATCACGAATGGAAACAAATTTAACACTTATGCAATTTATCAGAAATATCGTCTGTTACACTGCACTGATCAACAGGGGTTCGTTACAAATGTCTGAAATACACATATTTTATAGACCTACTGACACATATGTTACAGACCTACTGATATGAGTCACAGCACACATAAACATTTCAGACATTTGTAACGAAGCCCTGTGCTCCGTCGCAAGCTCACTCACTTCAAACGCCATCAGTTTCACGCGTTTCGCAGCCACGGTTTCCTCAGTATCACACGACATGTCAAATAACGAGGGTGTTATAGAATCTGCCGACTGTAGTCAGATTCCCATACAATCAACAAATACATTCACGTCTGGAATCTTCACAAATTCGAATTTTTCTCTTTGCTCATTTAACTTCCAAAAATAACTCCCTCGTAGAGGGCAAGGTCGGATTTACGGTGTTGACTGTATTTATCCATGCGCGAAATTTGTTTCGGGGGAAAATCGAAACAATTTCAAATCTAACTTTCAGCTCAGAGTTCTATTGATAAACTTAAATCACCCTATAGAAATATCATACGCAATTGTATTGATACTGAATTGTGGAATAAAATTGAAGTGTTTGTTAAAACTTCAAAGTACTACTTTGTTTGCCAATCAGCACGCGATAACACGCTATTCCAACTATTGAACGAATTTATTTGGACTGTCGATAAGGCGAGAATTTTAAATTTTAAATATCAATTGTAAGTTAAAAAAGAACATAAGAGACAGAGAAAACGTAAATATAAGTATTGAACTGTTTTTGTATGACATTTATGATTTATTTGAATGACATAGCGCGCATTATGATTGGTTTACTTGCAAAGCTGTGTCATTCAAATAGATTATAAATACCATACAAAACAGATCAATGCTTAAATGAACACACTTGTGTCTAGTGTTGATAGCAGGAGGCCCACGACACAACTATATACCTGTGTCCAGGTATGACATCAAAGGGAAGTCAGCAAGTTATACATGAAGTTAGTAATTAGATTATGTGTCTTCCATTTTCCATCTATAACCTGTCCGCTCTTCATACCTCTACATTTGGTTCAACAAGACCAGACATCTTATGCCACACATATTAGACACGTATTCATAATGTTCCATTTTTTATAGTTGAGGGTAAAATACACGGGTTGCTGCTCATTTTTAGTATACATTTATATTATTGTACATGTAGCAATAAAGGTGGGGTCAACATTTGGCCCCCTCTTTGATTTCTTTTATTCTATTGCCATATGTAGATACGTAAAAAATATCAATAACTGCAAACATGATTATTCATAATTACAACTGATAACCGTAGTGGACCTCCTTACATAACACCAGGTTGAGTGACTGGGGTTTCCTAACAAAATGACAGATAAATGTCACAGGAGAATGTTATTTTGAAAATGAATTATGATAGTGTACAGTGCATAAAATTATGGTAATTTTGATGCTAAATATGTCATTTTGGTATTCATGAAGTAAAGCGTAGTGATGCTTTTAATTAGAAAAACACGCAAAATTTTCACATCATTCAAAATATATAGTTATAATGGTAGTCTATATCTTAAACTTCTTTAAAAACTTTCCATATACCAAAACACTTTACTATATAACGTTTGTTTGAAAGTTATGTGCAACAGTAATAACTCATGAATATGTATTGTGCCAAAGTATCGTTCCTCTTGAGAACTACTTAAGGTTGAGATTGTGTTATAGACAACGATTTGCAAGAATATAAAAAAAATCACATAATCTTAATAGTAAAACTATTATACACTTAATCATACCCCCGCAACGAAGTTAGCGTGGTATACTGGACTCAGCTTGTCCGTCCGTCTGTTTGTCCGGACAACTCCTTCTAAAGTAATGGACCTATTTCAAAACAAAGTTCCCAGATATGAAGTTTGGCATGCAGGTTTTAGTTTTTTCGTTCTGACCCTTGTTTTACAAAGTTATGGCCCTTTGTCCTTGTCCGGAAATGCCCTTAAAAACCATGGGGTCAATTTTAACGAATGTTTTCAGATATAATAACTACTACCTGGTGTTGTGCATACAGGTATTGTTTTTTCAATCTGACCCCTTTTTTTACGGAAAAAATGACCCTATGTTGTAAAAGACTTGTCCAGACAACTCCTCCAAAACTATGGCGCCAATTTCAACGGAAGTTTATAGATATGGTTACTGCCCCCTGACATTGTGCATCCAAGTAGTACGTTTTCATTAAGACCCTTTAAGAGGAGTTATGGCCCTTTGTTGAAAAAAAATCTGTCTGCCTCATAAATTACTGGGCCGATTTCAATGAAAGTTTACAGATATGGTAATTACCCACTGATGTCGTGAATCAGGGTGGTATTTTTTCATTTCGACCATTTTTAAGGAGTTATGGCCCTTTGTTTAAAATCTTTGTCTTGACAACTCTTTCTTAACTACTAGAACGATTTCAGCAGAGCTGGTTCATCTGGGCTAACACAATTTGGAATGTAAGAATGTTTGGCATTGGGAGGGAGTACAGGAAGTATGTCAGTGACCTATATACTTAAATAATTACCGATGGGTGACTAAGGATTGCTTTACAATGCTTTGTCTTAGGTAGCCCTTTGGTTACAGTTCTGGTTTATATAGGAGCGGGTGGTATTAGTTAACCTTTGGCTTACAGTCCTAGTTATTATTTTATTTTGCCTATTGCCCATTCACTAATCAAAATATAAAGGAATATTGCATCATTTTATATCGTTAACTCTAAACAAATAAAGCAAGGAAAGATATCCTTGTCGGAATCTCCATACAAACATTTAATTCTAGCAAAATTGATTTTGTGACCTTGAAAGAAGGTCAAAGTCATCAATGTTTACAAAACCTAAATCCATTCACATGAACAACCTACTTGCCAAATATCAAGACCCAATGACCTTTGGTCATGAAGAAAAACCACTTAAGGAAAAGTGGAAAGAAAGCTATGTTTTTCTTTTTTTTTTTAATTAAAAGTGTTATATGACAAATTTACCGGTTGTCAATCTTTTTGAAATTCCTAGTGTTGCAAGTTATTATTAGTAGCCAACTTTCAAGCGAGTATGAAAAATAGACTGGTTTTAGAACTATGTAAATTAACGTATCAAAAAAGGAAATTTTCTCATTAGTAATGAAATTTCACATACTTTTCTGTTTAATATTCAATAAAGAGAACAATTCGTTCTTGAAATAGTATAATATTTGGTATCAAAATAACAGTTGGAATATATTGCACACGATGACGATATAATTTTAAGGTAATTGGGTCATTTAAATGCTCTAGGAGGAATTGTATTACCACACCTTTAACACCCACACAGGTGTAAGTCAATAAGGTCCCATTTGTTATAAAATGAATTCTGAAAATAACTGTTCCTGATTTAAGCTTCCTATACCCATACCTTTTTGTATTTATCTTGTTTTGAAGTTCCAAACGGGGGCCGACGCTAATGTTAAATCTCCATAGGCGTTGACCCTACATTTGGTGAATATTTCAATCGTATATATCCATATTGTAACGATAGGGGCGTTTACGTATAGTACAGTACTGGATTAACAAATTATGTGATGTCCACGTATGTACGGATACCCCATTCGCATGTGTATTTGTACCCCCGTATAAACACATCGTTTGAATCATCGATAGGAACTCATTTCATCACTTGAATTATATAAAATAGTTGCTCAAATGTATGTAGCACTTTGACTAACTGTAATACTAGTGTATTAATTGGCAGGTCAGACCGTTCATGTTTGGTTTGGTTTGAACCAGTCTTTCCCACCTTTCATGTAAAACCCTTGCTAAATTCAAGAAGGATATAACGACACACCTCTTCATTCACTTATATGCATACTGAGATAAACGTCTTGCAACTTATGTATTATGCTGATTTTTATGCTTTTTTATCTACTATATCTGTAAAATGTTACTGTCCAAATGCTATTATATACGTGTTGTAAAGCGCCTTAATTTAATTTCACAAACTGTATAGGGCGGTATATAAATGTTAAAAATTATCATATTTTTTTCTTTAATTTCCATCATTTTTTAATTAACCTCATCAGAGTTAACTATTCGTTTTGAATACCCAGCGTCTCTTTACCGGATTGGCAATGATCAGCAGTATGAGGACTAAGGTAATGAAATATATAGTGACAGAAAACCAATTAAACGTGACGAACAAAAAGCAAAGAGATCAAAATATATCAAGTATGTCGGCAATGCGCTTACTGTCTATTCCGCCTTTTTCCTGATCTTCCTTTTTTGCGATTACTACAAAAAAGATTACTTAATAGGATTTCACCAAGGTCATCATCTGATTCGGTTAATGTAAACATTCTTATTTTAGCGAGTCCAAATTTTAGCATATTAGCAAATTGTAACCGGCGCACTGGTGAATCGGCGCAACAACATTTATGCAGAGAAAACTATAAACATAATATTCAATTAGTGGAACCATAAATTAGTGCAACATTTAACGAGCGCTAAATTATGGATGTTTACAGTACAATAACAGATTGTTATGACTATTTAAAAGTTTCAAAATGAATAAAGGAATGAAAGAAGTCGATACTAATAGCATTCTTTTCTCTTTTCTTGAACGTATTAACGATAGTAACTTTAGAATAGTGACGATTGATAGGATTTCTCAAACATTGACGATTGCAATCGCCCTTTTTCTATCACCAATGGTTTTTTTTTCTATGACACTTTTTCAATGCGCAATCCATATTTTGGAATTTACTGTAAACGTTTCATTGATTTATTAAAAGTAAGAAATTACTTTATACTGGAAAAGATCCCGACACACGATCTGTAAGAATATTTTCCTTGTAACTCGTTACCGTCATTTTGGTCAAAAACAGCCAACGTATCACACTACAAAAAGCAGCAACAACAAAACATTGCATACCACAAGAATATTTTATTTCTATTTTAGCCGGTATATAATTTGTCTTGCATAGATCTCCGTTTTGTTTTATTTTTGTTACAAAGAAAACAAATGAACAGTTTAAATTCCTGTTGTAATATATTAACAATACAAAAAAATGTACCATGTATATGTAAGGCGATCGTCATTTTATTGCACCAACAATGAGCAATTTCAACGTCGTTGGTCGATAGAATTGTTCTAAGTGAAATCACTATGGTTAATTGTAAAAAAAAACACAAAAAACCCACAGCACTGACATACACGTACTACCGAAACAACATTAATTAAAGATACAGGAGAGCAAATATCACAAACAGCACAGACACGAGCAAGAAATATGGGACTTGTCTCAAAACAATGAGGTGCTGAAATTATACAGAAGAACCTCAATATAGAAAAGGTGACACTTGGTGTCAAAATGATCATCTCGAACTCCAATTTTCAACCACGTAAGACATCTAAAAAAACAGCCGTAAATCAATGTTGTTGAAAGTCCTCTAACCATTGAAAAGGCCTATAAAATCTAGCACACGTAGAATGCAACTGAAGTGAACTCTACACTCTTGAAATATGAGTATATTCCTACGATAATTTTAATATTTACAATTTTTACTTTATACCAAGTACTCAGTGTGTGAGGTACTTGTTCTGTATGGTCACGTTATATCTCACAAATGAGTGTTATTTTAAAACGACATGCTATTTCATTTCGTTTCATTTGAAATAATAATAAGCATCTAAAATAGTTTTTAAATGATTATCGAGGCATGAAAAAAACAGATTTAACTTTTTTTGTCCGAAGGCACATACATATGAAAGTATAATAATTCTAATTACTTCAAAGCATGACAATACATTTATGATTACATGTACATTACTAGCGTTCATTATTTAACAAAAACCGCTATATCACGTATAATCAACCAACCGGTTTGGCTGTTATTTATTACTATAGCTATGCATTTGATACCGGGTGGAATTTTACTGCCAAGAATTTCAGAATCAAATTCCCCACCCACAAAGCTTCCTAGGAGTGTGCCTTTCGCATTGCACGGTTCATCATCACTTACTCTTAAACTTCCAGCAACAAGTGAGTCCTTTCTATTTCTGACATCTCCTGTTGAAATGATTATTTTTGTTATAGTTATGGGCCATCTATAAATAATTTCAAAAAAGCTTCTTCTGTGTGGGTCTGTGGCCCAGAAATACGAGGACGAATGATTATAGGCATGTCCCGGTCCGAACCCTTGTGCCCAATTCATGTTTGTAACCAGAGACGCCTTTGGATTATCTCCCTTTGGCACCTCTATTATAGACAAAGCTTTATCACCGAATCCTTTGAATTTTTTATCAATAGATGGCATCATTTTGTTTTGTAGCGATGACCATTTCCCCATATGCTGGAATAAAGATGGCGACGAATGGATTGGTGCTTTCTGTCCCAAAATCCGGAACACGTGACCTAGAAGAAGATCACAAGGTTTAGAGTCGTAATAAGCTAATAAGGTGTGTGCTAATCTTTCAATGTGAACCGACCGAAACAATTTTCCAATAAATCCTAACTCTGTAAATTCTAAACAAATCCAAAACCGTTTTGTCTGATTCACAAATTGTTCTATATCATTCACAAAATGCTGGGCGCACACAACATCGTCCTCTAGCTGTATGTAGTATTCGGATATGTTTTTAGAATACAACATCACAAAAGCGAAATCGAGGTTCTGTTTAGACCTCCAAAGTGTCCGCCGTGCATTGTCCTGGTGTTCTCCTTTAACTGTTTGGATTTTGAAATCTGGGTAGATAGACATGGGAGCGGTAACAACTTGCAGCATTCCTTCATCAAAATAATCTTTAAAGTTTGTATAAAGTTTATTAGCCATTTCAAGGTTCCATGTTTCGTTGAAATCGGCTACAAATATGACAACTGTTATCCTGGACTTCTCCTGGTCATTTGTATTGTCTATTATAGATTTGATGGTTCCCATGATGTAGTTTCTGCCGTTCGGGCGTCTTACTGAAGGTATCCCCAATGTCAGCATACCTGCAAAAATACATAAATAAATCAATCAGAATAGACTCTTCTGGAGCAAATTGACCAGGAAAATCACAGCTTAAATCCTTGTTTATGATTACCGAGACTCCCTGTGAAAGGACTTAAGTCATTCACGGGAGTACTTCACAGCACGTGGTCAGGTAATTATACTATTTTTCATACATAATAGATTTATTTTACAGATACATGCAAGTTGGACACGGAATATCACCTCACACAGCTCGACCAGAACTCTTTTACGACTCGATCTTATCGGTCGCTATCTACTGAGTAGATCGATTGATTTTGGCCGTTGGTGTTCGGGTGGGCAATTTGGAAAACAAATACAACATTCATCTTAGATTAATATTTATATCAAATTGCACATGAATAATAACATGTCAATAGAAAACAATGATTGATGTGTAATAGGAACAATATCAGGTGTTGGTCGTTATCAGATGTCACAGATCGCACTCGTTTAGTTAGCGGATGAACACATTCTCTTGATCGCTACATTCACTTGTGGATGTGTTCGTCCGCACAATAAACTCTTGTTGTGCCAGACATTCAAGATTATTTAGTCGGTTGGTTGGTTGACGGGTTTTTCGCCTACATGAATCCGCCCTTACGGGTTTCATCTCACTGACGGAAGTCAGTGTTCTGTCGGCGTCGAAGATTATTTGATTCTTGGAAACCATTTATACTTACTGTACAACGTAAAAAAGGTTAGCTAGACGTTTATTACAATAATCTCTCGGTTATATTTAGATTTCATATATATCGCTTTCTACGTCCAGTTGTTGGAAACCTTATGAGTTTATGTCGATATTTGAAAATCGAGTTGATAGTCCTAACATTTATTTTAAAGGTCTTTTTGAAATATATTTCCAATGATTTTGAAACAATGTACATGCGATTTGAATTATAAATGTCCATGTATTTCGGAATGTGTATTATGAATGTTTTCTGTAGACGACCTGTTACGCTAAGTAGGATTGAAACAACCGAACAATTGTGTGGTTTTTAATTTCATTTGAAAAATAAGCAAATTATTTGAATTTGAATTTGCCTGATAAAAGATGTTTCATTTTACCAGTATATGATTTTGGCTAATGTAACAGAGTGAAAGGGACATGGAAATACGCTGGCGTTACGCGAGGTGATAGATCAAACGAGGGCAGTTGTATCGAGATTTTTTAATTGAACTCATTTACTTTTTCTTTGTCGATGACGTCCATATAACGGTAATCCAGAAGAAGTGCTCCACCGCGTTAAATTAACATGCAAGCCTAGCTTCATTGTCAGCTCCGATACGGAATTGAAACCAGGGACAGAAGTTGGAGACATCCCGGACACCTGAAAATTACAATGGGCGATGAATACAAGCTATAAATGTTCCTTGATTCGAACAGGATCTTTGAATAGGATAGAGTCTTAAATCAGACACTGGTCCTTATTAAGGACAGGACTTTGATCAAGGGACTGGTCCTAATTAAGGACAGGACTTTGAGTCCGGCACTGGTCCTAATAAAGGACAGGACATGAGTCAGGCACTGGTCCTAATTAAGGACAGGACTTTGAGTCAGGCACTGGTCCTGATTAAGGACAGGACTTTGAGTCAGGCAATGGTCCTTATTAAGGACAGGACTTTGAGTCAGGCACTGGTCCTTATTCAGGACAGGATTTGAGTCAGACACTGGTCCTTATTAAGGACAGGAGTTTGAGTCAGACCCTGGTCCTTATTCAGGACAGGATTTGAGTCAGGCACTGGTCCTTATTAAGGACAGGACTTTGAGTCAGGCACTGGTCCTTATTCAGGACAGGATTTGAGTCAGACACTGGTCCTTATTCAGGACAGGACTTTGAGTCGGACACTGTTCCTTATTAAGGACAGGAGTTTGTGTCAGACACTGGTCTTTATTAAGGATTTGAATTTGAGTCAGGCCTGGTCCTCATTAAGGACAGGAGTTTGAGTCAGACACTGGTCCTTATTAAGGACAGGACTTTGAGCCAGGCACTGATCATAATTAAGGACAGGACTTTGAATCAGACACTGGTCCTTATTAAGGACAGGACTTTGAGTCAGGCACTGGTCCTTGATAAGGACGGGACATTGAGTTTTTAGTTAAATATTAATGTTTTATATCAAAGTATCAATTCCAAAATTAATTGTTAATTTTTCATACATAGATCCAATTCACTTTTCTCTTTCTATTAAAAGTTGATATTTCCGACACGTTATTCTATAAATAGAACGCGAAATACTTCCAGGGCCACGTAGGCCCTTTAAGAGGTGTAACTGTACCAAGAGAGGGACACTTTAGTATTTTGCAAAATATTGGGCGATAAACGATCAATATCACCAGAAAATTATACATTGTTAATATATATGTTAGAAGATATTCTGATAAAAATTCTTCTCCGGACAAGCATTACTTTTGAAAAAAATCCTTTTTTATTTTAAAACAAAATACTGTTCTTTTCGAAATGTTTGATATCTTTTTTAAATTTTAACTGTTCGTGTTAACATTTGGCCGTTTCCCCACATGTGTCCCGTTTTTGGTCCACTGAAGTTTCAAATACAGCAGTGTAGTTATAAAAAGAGAAGCGTATTTGGTGGCAATCTTTGTAAACTTTGATAAAATAATAAGTATTCCCATTGATTGCATAAAACGCTTTGCATGCGGTAATTATTTCTGCTTTGTTTTTAGTCAGTGGGAATATCTTATCAGATATATATATATAAGTCTCGTAAGTAATAACGACAGCGTGATCCAATATGGCCACCGGATACGAACAAACAAATGTTCGTTGAATGCGTATTACTTAAATAAATATATGAGCAAAGACGTAATTACAAAACTAAAAGGAATTTGTTAAATTTTCAGGGTAGTCCAAATTATAATATATATGACATATAACTATACAAGAATTCCACGGAAGTGGATGTGTCGACTGCGCAGGAAGGTGGGAGATTACGAAGAAATAGATACAATATGGTGTCCACAAGCAAGACCAGCATCGCCTCATTGGTATCCATAACATTTTTCCTGAAAATGCAAGTATGCTTAGCACTGCATGAAGTTTGAGTTTGATCAGCCCAAGGAAACTCAAGTTATCGCACGCAAACATATTTTTATTTATAGTAACAGTGACCTTGACCTTTGACTTTCGGACCTGAAAAGCAATCCCAAGCAAGCACTTTTGGTAAGGAAGCACTGCATGAAGTTTGAGTTTGATCGGCCCAAGGAAACTCAAGTTATCGCACGAAAACCTCTGTGCGAACGACGCCGCCGACGCCGACATAGCAATACCTATGTGTCACCAGCTTTTCGCAGGCGACACAAAAACTATTAACCTAAGGGATAGCTAAGGGTTTTTTTTCAAATGACAAATAACCAACGCATGTATTACATGGAAACAATTTTTAGTTCGCGAAAAATGAAAATATCAAAATAATATGTTGGACATCATTAACATCGACTTGTAAAAGAATGTAGAACTGTTTCTGTACATGAAAATCTGCCGGAGATACGACAAAAATACAAAGTATTCATGGAAAATGTCAAATTGAGATTCAGATTGTTTGTGCGAAAACAGAACATCGATGCAGGTACGGAGCAACGCATGTTGCCGTTTTTTGCGAGCCTGTACAACCGGAAGGACGAAAGTTTTTGAAGCCTTCATATAGCATAGAACCAATGCACTCTCTTTTTCCCGTGCTTTCTGTACATGAGTTGCAATCACGGCTCGCACTGCTCGGAGTATCGCGAAGTGCCCGCTATCAATATCCTTTGGAATATTTTCTACTTCATTCATTATTACTTAAGTAAGTTTCTTTTGTCCATTTTTATATTGATTTCCTACCTATATTGATATATAACTGTATTAATCAACGTTTCGTGCTTTTTACGGCCTATACCATTTCCTGCCGTACCTTCTTACCCAAACAACGTATCCGATTATGCCGTAAAGGATTGTTATGATGTTGTATGAGGCACATACAAGCATTATCGATCAAGGCTGAAGACCGAGTTTCAGTATAAGTCTCTTTCATGCCCAGCAGGACTAATTAAGCTGAGGGGTTTTCACATCGGGTAAAACCCGAGGGTTTTGCACCAATCTGAAATTACCAAGAGTGGAATGAACAACATTGGCATGAAAGAGTGCTTTTTCTTTCATTCCAATCACCAGAATTAGCTCGGAAACCATCGAAAGTGTCACAATTTCCGCATCGTAACGTTCCCGATAACATGACGTCACGTCTTTGTTATCCAATTGTTACATCACACACGTGAAATGGGGTGTACGAAAGAAATTCTGATATGAATAGTTTCATTTGCGTGTAATACGACGTTTAATAAAAAAAAAAAAAAATGATATATGGTGATCGACCGAATACACGTGATAAAGCGTATGCAGATACCTGGTATCAAATACAAATTTAATTGTATACAATTTTGGCACATTGTTGAGGTCGATAGGAAGTATTATGGAGCACGAAAACACGATTGAGGCCGAATCACGAGATCGATTGTGGTGTCCTATATTCCATCAAATTTATATCAAACGAAACAAACGATAGAATTGTCTCATCAATACCAACTCAACAAAGCTACAAAACGTATATAACAAGGCGCCACAAGGTCAACACTATGATACACTTGCTAATGTCTGACATTCGTAATCGTCACCGAACTCCACCACTTCCTGCTATAGACAGTTATTCGAGGGTGTAATACCGCGATCATTAAGGCAAAACAAACATGTGTCCTACTTCCTGTTAATCAGTTTACCTTCGCGAGAAATCAATACCGCGTAAAATGTAAACTGATATCAATCTAACAGATAATTACTATCAATATGCAAAAATGTCCTCTTAGTTATGGATTTTAAGTGTACGCGAACGCAACTTTACAGGCAAAGTCCTTGATAAAACGTATTGATATGCAGTTTACGAATGTAAATATTGATTGATTTTAAATCAGATGGGTATGTTTTCGTCTTTTTTCATCAACAGTTGATCGATATCCTAACAATTGGTTACGAATGTACCTTTTATTTTGATCTTATGCATTAATAAATATAAATATAGTAAGTAAACGAAGGTTTCCTTCGACCTTGGAATCTGATGATGTCAAAGTGTATGCTATGTAAAGAAACAAGAGGCCTAAGTGGCCTTTACACACCTATGGGTTTTAATGTCTGAGCAAATGACAGGCCACTGTGGTCATCTAGCATTTGCAGATCCTCACAGAAAGTAACAAGCATCAAAGTGAGAATCTCTTAAAGAATGTTGTACCAAATTTGAATTCGATCGGTACCGCTGTTCTTGAGAAGAATTCGAACATGTCTCAGTCAATCAGACGATAGGATGGCCATCTTGAAATTTCGGATTGGCACAAAAATAGGAAAAGTCGATACAGACATCATACGGAACATTTGTACCACAATTAAAGGCAATCAAAATAATTGTTCTCAAGACGAAATCGAAAACGTACATAGCTAACGCAAGACGGACGACAACAGAATAACATTGACCGAAATAGTTCATATGAGCAATCATGTGACCTTAAATAGCAGCATCGTATTCAAACAACTTTATGAGAAATAAAATGCATATTTGAAAACCGGTATGGACAAGTAACAATACGTTGCACTTTAGAATACGAACACTGCTAGGACCAAAGACCACGTAATGTGTAATTTGAGAAAACAAATATTTGCATTGCAAAGTCCTTCTCCTTTATTTAAGTTATAACATGTCGTTTTACCCTGTGTAACCTGTAAATTATACAGACATAAATATTACCTTGTTCCTCGCCCAAGTCTCTTTCTCATCACATTTACATTTTTGCTTCCCAGCTGTAATAAATAGCAGGAAGTATTTTAGTTCATATTCACATTTGTGTATACATCTTAATGAAGTTTGGAAATTTGAGTTAGCTAATTGCTATGCCAACTATGGCTTAATGCTCCCGGTCCAATATGTTTGCCTGCCATATTTAAAATTGAAAAGTACGTGTAATCAATACGTTCATTGATTTTCCTGCCTATAAATTCAGTTATTGTATACAATATGTATCTTATATGTACCAGTTACATGCTATTTATTGATATCTAACTCGGCTTAAAGCTATAGTATGTCAATATTTCATTCAGTTGCTGACATAGTTTCTTACCTTCACTGTTGTAGAAAATATGATAGTTGATAAGCATGATGACGACACCGAGTAAACATATCTGTAACCCAATCTTCTGGATGCCACGACTGTTCTTCATGGTTCTACAAACAACATTGTAACTGTTATTTATAACGAAGTCTTTCGGCACACTCTAGGAACACACTCGATATCCGCTTGCTTGTTATTTCATCTGTAGCAGTCTATTATCTAGCACCCACACATTCTCTAATACAAATATCTTTCGATGGTGGCATCTAACCAACGATACAATCCGATCCTGTTGTCAAAACTTAGTAATCCCTGCGCACTAGACCTCAAGGATACAGAGACACCAACAGCATGCTACTACGTACCCCTGTAGAGCACAGCGATCTACAGTAGTGTCGTGTAGGAAGTGCTACACAGTTTATCCTATTTATACGTGTTCGATCACTGATAAACACTACATTAAAGATAAAAGCGGTGTGATGACACATGTATATTTACAATAACACTACAGTGTTTAATCATACTCGAGATACTGCATTATTTCAGATTTGATTTGGTTTGTTTGTGTTTCATGTCCTATTATTAACTACGATGGCCGAAGGCGGCCAGGCACATTTGAAGCATTTATAGTTCGTTTGTGTACCATGGTTCACTTTTGTGTGGTACAGAAACGAAGCATTTATACTTCGTTTGTGTACCATGGTACACTTTTGTGTGGTACACAAACGAAGTATTTATACTTCGTTTGTGTACCACGGTACACTTTTGTGTGATACACAATCGAAGCATTTATACTTCGTTTCGGTACCGTTAGCCGAAAGCGGCCGGACATATTTGAAGCATTTATGTTTCGTTTGTGGTCCGTTAGCCGAAAGCGGCCGGACATATATGAAGTATTTATACTTCGTTTGTGTACCACGGTACACTTTTGTGTGATACACAATCGAAGCATTTATCATTCGTTTCTGTACCGTTAGCCGAAAGCGGCCGGACATATTTGAAGTATTTATACTTCGTTTCTGTACCACGGTACACTTTTGTGGTACACAAACGAAGTATAAATGCTTCGTTTCTGTACCGCGTTACACTTTTGTAGTACATAAACGAAGCATTTATACTTCGTTTGTGTACCACGGTACACTATTGTGTGGCCGAGAGCGGCCACTGATAGGAAATGACCCTGAGCTATTAATTTTCCGATTAAAACATAACGGGTTGCCGCCGTGGAAAGTTGAGGTCTGTCGTAACTCTTCTTTGGAGGGCTCATACAGGATACGTCTTGTTTATTAAAAAAAAAAAAAAATGTTAAGATAAAAAATATGTTAATTATCATGTGAAATATATGCATAGCGAGATTAAAAGCGATATGCATTTGTCGTTTAAATTTGTTATATATACCGATACGTGACCTTATGCTATTTTGCTTGATGATTTACTTGACGGCTACCACAGTCTCTTCCACCCCCAAATGGGCCCATGTTTGGGTTTAAAAATATCCAGAGCGTAAGCCTTGGTTTCATATCCTATTACTGCGATAACCTTTCGAATGATGAACATTCCAAACGCTGGCGAGGTCAATAGGCCAATGCCCGTTTAAAAGTGTACCATGGCCGCTTTCGGCTGTACAATTGGACAGACACGAACAATAAAATTGTAACGCAGACGTGTACCACAAAAGTGTAACGCGGTACACAAACGAAGTATAAATGCTTCGTTTGTGTACCACACGAAAGTGTACCATGGTACAGAAACTAAGTATAAATGCTTCAAATGTGCCTGGCCGCCTTCGGCCATAGTAATTAACAGCTATGGTCATTTAAGGACGTGTCAGGTTTTGGTGGTAGAGGAAAGTCGGAGTTCCCGGATAAAAACCAACGACCTGCGGCCAGTACCTGGCGACTGCCCTACGTAGGCGTCGAATACGCGACCCAGCGGTGGAGGGCTAGTGGTAGCAGAATGTCAGACGCCTGAACCACTTGGCCACCGCGGCCCTCGGAGGTATTTTACAGGCCAAACTACGAACATAAAGTTCAGCGCGACTACTTCTTATAACAACATTAATTACTTTATTTTTCATCAATTATACCAATAGAATCGACTCATTGTGAAACCAAACATGTTACGGTGAATACAATGTTCATTTGTTATCATATTGGTCAACTAATAGAAATTACAACTCAGATTTTATGGGCCACGAAGATGGCACCTCACGGTATTTTGTAAACAAATATATGATTTGAGATTTGATCACCAAACATTACTCTTTAAAGTACATTTCTACAGGAGATATTCTTATCCCTGCACTACTATTTATACTACTACCTCGTGAAGACTATATCTTTCGGTTAAATCAATATTTCATGTGTAATTTCAAACACGTATAGACATCAACTACTGTAATCAATGCATTCCCATCATAAAAAAATCCAAGACCCACAAAGGGCATAAAAGAGTATGTGGTTGCGATATACAGCAGAAACTTAGCAGAACAATGAGGGGGAGGTATGAGAGGGTCAGCATCTACCCATACACATTGATTATGCATGCGCAACGCATATACCTGCTTCTTTTTAAGGCCCTTTGCCTATTTTGAAATGTCATTTAGCTAAATTTAGACAATATAAGGTGTATGTATATAGCGTGATATCATGGCGTGCTCTTTATAGATCAGAAATGTGATGCTACTCAAATTATCTTGAGGCTTCGGCGGCCTTTTTGAATTTACAGGTCTAAACTTTCTCAGTCAATCAATGGGTAGTGGGGCCATCTTGGATTTTCAGATCAACATCAAAAGTAAGAACACCTGTTCAGAACCTCATTAGGAACAAGTCAATCGCTTGAGTCGTTCTTGAGAAGAAGTCGAAAATATATCAGCTAATCAGGGATCAGGGTGGCCATCTTGAATCCTCAGATCAGAAAAACCCTTTACAACACTTATTCGGAAAATCATAAGGATAAATTGCAAATAGATGCTTCGACGGCTTTTAAATTTACAGATCGGTACTAAAAGTAAGAACATATGTTTGAGACGTCATAAGGAACAATTGTACCAAGTTACGAGTGAATCAGTGCAGATATTCTAGAGAAGAAGTCGAAAATTTCTAAGACTCCATTGCACCAAGCAAGGATCCAATTGGTGCAGTGCCTAATAAGAGGTCATGATAACCATTTTAAATTCCGGATCAGCACGAAAAATAACAACACTTGGTCAGCACATCATAAGGAATATTTCTAACAAGTTTGAAGTCCATCGCACGAGCAGTTTTGAAGAAGAAGTCGAAAATTGTTCAATTGTTAACGAACGACGCACGAAGCACGACGAAAGAAGAAGACGGATGGCAATAGCTCACATGAGCAATCATATGAGCTAAAACATACAATGTATAAAAGGTTCATTAGCAGAGGAGTTGTGAGTGCTCAGGTAGCTTTCTAAAACTGTATGTGCACTACAGAACACAATATTTTGATAACCATCACGTACAAATAACAACGTTGTCAATCACTAAGTGTCATAATGATTACATAACCTCTCTCGCAAATGAAACAAAAGAGCCGCTGAACTAGTTTCATTTGCCGAATGACAGTACACGCATTTTATTTTGTATGTTTTTAAGAGCTGCTAGTGGCCAAACAAACACTTTTCTATTTTGCCTCTAGATCTGCTTTAAACCTGTGATGTTCACGGTGAGAACATCCCGCCAAAATTACCTTGAATTTGTCAAATGCTGATTTCATGTGTTGACGATAGGTTACTGGTTTTGATTGATTGAAATGATTTTTTCACCTTCATTTTATATTCCACCATAGTACGCACATATATGTTTCTTAATTATATAACTATTCCATTGATGATACCCGCATGCAAGTATCTGTCAATATTCTGGCATCAAGTTCCGTAAACAACACTGAGACCTTGCTTACAATATATATATGCCCACGCAGTATAGACATAAAGTTGTACGGACTTATTATGAGGCCTATAAACAAGGAGAACTGTACAAGATAGGCGCTTTTATTTTCATTTTGAGATATTAACATAGTTATAAATGTGAAATAAACAATACTATATAGAGGTGACAAATGTAAGCAATACCATATTGTTTTTCCTGGTGAATTTGGATTATTTATTTGTCAGCATGGTATGGGTTCATTGTTTCTTTGGATACTCAGTATTCTGAGATAATGGAGCCCAAACGAGTTTACACGAGCAAGAAATTTGCTATCCAGATATATATAATATTCCCATCGTGGCAATCTACGCAGTATGAACGTCCTAGTACCTCTAAACCTCGAGATAAAGGGATATGATTGCAAAACAGTTGACAAGCCGAATATGGTTGTCCTGTTGACGTGACGTCACACGTGGACGTCCCGCACGAGGTCGATCGCCGACGTGGCCAAACTGTTGATGTCGTCTCCACAAATCCCGGATTGTGTTTCGATGGACATGAAAACGTGTATAGACTACAGCTTGGCCCATACCAGCTTGAAGCATACCAATAATCCGGAGGCGTCATTTTCATTGAGCATCGGCATAGCATTAATCACAATTTAAAAAGTTATAATGCTGTTTTTACTGTTCACTGGTCCCAACAAAGTGACCCAACAGTTGAAAAATAACTTTCATTGTCGAATTGTGATGGCTGGACGAGAAAAACGTGCAACCTGGTCAACGCCTATAGAGAGCAAACTGCACGGGAAAAACTGTCCATGACACACGGATAGTGTGTATGTGTCATACTCGGTCATGTGTGTGAATCTTCATGTATATACAGTTGGTAATACATGTTTTATAACAATTCTCCGCATGCACAGGTTTTTTTTCCGCTAGTATATATTAAAAGTCACCATACGGTGACCTTTTTCACTCATATATTCGTTTGGTTGTTTATGTGACAGGACGTTTATACTATATTAACATTGCACCAGCCAATTTTCATTTAGGTAAATACAGTTTCCAACATTTTAACGTTGGTCAACAAACGAGCAGACGATAACATTGATAGCATGCTTTAAATATTTCCACTCGCCGACTGTCTACTACAACATCATTGATCCAGTTGTAGATATGAAAGGATATGATGATCAATAAAGGTGATTCGGTTCTTAAAAA